ATATAGATTCTTCCATTTGCTGGAAAACATCTAGACTTTTACCACGATTTGGAGGAGGAGCTCAGCCGAAAATCGCTTCGACGGTTACAAAGTGCCAATTGTATATGATATTTTATTTTAACAGGACGGTTCTGACAAAATATCTTCTAACTCCTCACGGTCTTTTACGGCCTGGTGACTGTCTCAGAACATTTTTTTTTCAAGTTATCGACGTACAAATTGAAAAAAATTATGAGGAGCTAGTCTAAATGGCACTAGTGAAATTTTTTATACAGTTAAATAAAAATTTCAGAAACAATAACTGAAAAATGTAAAAAGATTAGTTGTTTCAAAACTCTCTTTCGAACGGGAACAATCACAGATAAGTTGATATGTTTATGCATAAATGTATGCATTCATATATATCTAATGATAAAATCATTGTCATATTTGTATGAGTAAACTCACATTACAGGCTATCGCTAATGTGACCACTGAATAATTATACATTAGACACAAAATATTCCACAAATTCACGTAGTCATTCCGAAATGGTGCTTTCCTCAATTTTTTTGCCATAAAATATGTCATAATTATAAATTTGTATTTAAAAAAAAATTGCGTATTATTATAAAAAGGAGTCGGATTGTTTGGCGCACGCCACCTTGGCGGGCCAAACACCCTGGAATAGATTTCCCCTCGTCGTGTTAAAGATATAGTCGAGTAAAGTGGAGTATTAGATAAAAAAAGAAGATAAACAAACAAACATTAATGAATTACGAGAAAAGTTGACATCTTCCTCAACAAAAAGGAAAGAATATTCCAGTCGGCCATGAAAAGAAATTGCTTCTATTATCTTTTTTATCCCTGTAAGGCCTCAACTCATTAGCTTGTCGCTAAACTGCTCCAAGCTAGTCATTTGTCCTAATCTCTTCCTTGCGCGCTACAATTTATTTTCACCTGATCTCCTAAATTTTCTGTAATTGCTTATTACCTTTTTGTATCATATCACTACCGAAATTCAGAAAATATGGCGTAGCTCCTTACCCATCGTCCTGTGCTGTTCTAATGTATCGTGTTACTTTATGTCGCTAACTCTTGGTCCCATGTCATCGCTTTCTCTGGCACACATGTCCTAAGTTTAGTTTGGATAGAGTACCGGAGGAGGACGCAAAAGCCACCGCAGAGGCCACGAAGATTTCGACTCCTAAATTGGGGTTCAATATCTCATACAACTTACCGAGGAATTGAAGATATACATAAAAGATATACAAGTTCTACTAGAGCAACACAAGTCCTTTACAAAGGCTCGACTGCCTTAATACCCTCAGCTTTCGAGCTTAACCTGGGGACAAGTGCTACACGCCCTTACATATTTTGCATAATCCAACATCATCCTTGCTCTATAGTGCTGTTGAAAAACGCGCGCAAAAGCCTTTTTTACACCAATATGACCTGAAAACGCGGTATTATTATTATTATATGTATATTTTATGATTCTGAATTAGATTGAAAATATTAATAACTACACGAAAGACACACAACATATTCAAAAACAAAACCACTTCTCTTTTTTGAGTTCCAATTCGAGAATCCATGCTGATCCAGCAAAATCACTTTAACAAAGAAAATTCCAATATAAATATTTTCTTTTAAGTATAGAGCCCCAATTGTACCATCTACATTTGAACAAGCATATTTATGATATATATTATAAATACGTACACGTATGTATCTCCTATACAAGTCTACTGCTGCTAGGTAAGACCCCATCTTATCGTATTGCATATAAAAATCTTATGTCCGCTTAGAAATATCCAGTAATTTTCAAACATCTCCAAAAGTGACAGACCGATTGACTTGAAATTTAATCAGATTATTTCTATGATTCCTGGAAAGGCTTATAAGAAAGAAGAATTCGGGAAGTAGACCGGGGACTGACTTATTCAAAAAAATCTTACTTTTTGGAACGGGTCAATTCCATATCCCGGAAGAAAAAGTAGTGTTAATGTTAACCTATACAAAATAGAGTTCTTGTACCAATATTCGAGTAAATCGATCCATAAATGCAGTTTTTTTAATACGTCCTTGGTCCATTTCTTAGAACAAAATAAATACGATTTCTCAAATAGGTCGATCCCTGACCCACTTGCCATACTTTTGTTTTCTTTGTTTCTATTTAAACCTTTTCAAAACCATTAATATAAACTGACAAATTTTTAGTATAATCTGCTAATAAGTTTTGGAAATCCTGAAAAACAATCACGCAAACTAAATTTTTATATAAATATTTATATAATATATATATATATATATATATATATATAAACATATACTTGGCTAGGGCGAAAAATCGCTTCAGCGGTCACAAAGCGCCAATTATATATATNCCTGAAAAACAATCACGCAAACTAAATTTTTATATAAATATTTATATAATATATATATATATATATATATATATATATAAACATATACTTGGCTAGGGCGAAAAATCGCTTCAGCGGTCACAAAGCGCCAATTATATATATTTGTGGTTTTTGCGTCAAATGGAGTGTTTATACTATGCGGCCTCCGAACAACTAATAGTTTTTTTATGAGAAGCTCTTTTATTTCATATCCGAAATACGCTCGGAGGGGTGGACATTTTCTGCTGAGTGGCGACCGCAATTAGAAAATTTAACGTAATTTTTATTTCTATTAATTTTCAATAACCTTTGGACGTTGGCAGATTTGAAGCCGAGCCTTCCGAATGTCAGTACGCAATGCTAACCACTCGCATGCCGCGGCCGCCAATAAATAAATTATATAAATAGTTCATTTAAGCAAACAAATTGTTTATATTGCGTTTAGTGACTTGCTAAACAGCCGGAACTTCTCTACATTTTGATTCGAGAAAAAATTAGTCCGCTCTCGAGAGACGGGCTCTTTGAAACGCATTTTTGAGTAGTTTTCGTTCAGTGGCTTCATCCTGTTCCTCTTGAAGTCAATTTATCTCCTTGTTATAATCTTATATTTGATGTTTTTAGTTTCGAAAGCAGTTCCTATTGTCCTAATGTTATTGTAGAAAATTCTTGTCCATGTCAATTTAGCAATCGATACTCCAAAAAAATTAACTTGCATGATGTCGCGAGCCAATAGTAACGAAAGATCATTTATCGAAGCTATTGGGCTGAAAGGTAAAAGGTTTCCAATTTTTATTATTATTATTATTCAAAAATTTGAAATGTGTTTGAAGTTGAATTAAAATTCGGCTACATAAATGTCAAAAGTCAAGATCAGAGTTAGCAAGGAAGGAATCCTATTTTTCTCATTATAGAGAGCATATTTCGAAGGAAAGCAATAATCATATGCAGAACTTACAAGTATCTATTTTCACCTGATCTCCTAAATTTTCTGTAATTGCTTATTACCTTTTTGTATCATATCACTACCGAAATTCAGAAAATATGGCGTAGCTCCTTACCCATCGTNTTCTTCAGCAGATTTTGTAGCTACTACAATAGTTCATCTCTTCTTTGCCTTTTTACCCTGTCACACCCTTCTCCAAAAGGAATGCTGGACATACCTTTGCCTATGTTTTTAGTCGGTTCCTGTGTAGTTCAATACAATATCAAACAAAAACAAAAAAATATATTACACTGCAAATAATGTTTCAAGCACGACACGATATTTACTTGGCCCGAAAATTTAACAAAAAAATAATAATAAATTGCATGAGTTTTCTCAGAGGTTCTAACTAAAAAATAATTCTTGTGTCCGGGCAAACATGAGAAGGTAATAACTTTACAATAACATGCCCATGTTTGTTTCAATCAAATATTAAAAAATTACAAAAGCGAGTATTTTTTTTATTTTTCAAACCTCCTTTAAACCTTCGATTACCTTTAAATTAGTCGTTTTCTTAATGGCTCAGACCTGATCCCGAGGAATTTGTTGTTTGTCATAATTTATTCTGAAATAATTTACTCCAAAATGAAAGAGAAACCGCACATCTACAGACTGTTTTTTTATATTACAGTACCAGCCTACAGCTCGTAAACGCCAACTAATAAATTTATTTACTTAAAATTAATGATTTTTTAATGAGTTATATATCATAAAGTCCCATACCTAGATTTGTCCAAGTATAACACTGAATTTTCAAAATTTTTTTACTATTCACGAAACTGTGCGACGTTGTTAGAATTTAGAAAGAATGAAATAAAATAAGCCTTCTTGTTGCATGAAACCGCCTTTTTTGAGGGAGACTTGTTTAAAAAAAAAGAAGAGATTAACATTAGATTCCCTCACTTTTTGACCTACACGTACTTGATTCACTACTCTCAGTGCTTCGAGAACGTTGAGCACATTCCCCATAACTGTGGAGCTTCGGCTTAATTGGATGAAACCGCTTGTAACGTATTTCACTTCACTTAGTACCAATGAAAAAGCATATTGCTTAAGGTGGTATTGAGCACCAATAAAAAGCTCAATAAAAATAAGTCAAATCCCTCATGAAGTAAAAATTCATTTCATTTAACTTTGTATAAGCTTTAAGTCCAAAAATTACTAATTAGAAAACACTTTTTCCATGAATTTGAAAATTAGAACTACTAATTTAAAAATTTAAGTTTATTTACTTAGCTTCAACTTATTGCCTATTTGTATATTTATATTTCTTTTTCTTTCTTTTTCTCTTAACTCTCTAAATGGATTATTTGGCTTTGATTACGTCACTTACTTGCACCAATCTATCACTACCTCTTGTAAAATTATACAACCTCAATTTGAATATACCTACAATAACAAAACAACGACAATTTGATGCCGCTACATGTGTGTTTGTGTTATGCGAAACTAAATAACGCTGTTGCCATTTTCGATGTATGTATGTTAAATTTTTTTAAAATACACTTTTTAATTATGTGACATACACATATAAATAATATATTGAATGTATATATATCATGTATTTAATAATTGTAAAATTTACCTTTACATCCGATCATTATTAAAATATGCAACGAATAAACAAACAGACCAAACCACAGTGTTATTAGTTAATAATGATAAGAATTATGGACGTAATGATTATGTGAGACATCATCTCAATGTTCGTCCAGAAGTTGGCTTATTAACATCTACCGCACGCACATTTATACAGGAAGGCGTTACAACCGAGTATGCAACACAAATTGTGGGCACAACGCTCGATAATGGCCGCTTATACGCACAGTATTTAAAAAAGAGCTCACGTGTGCTTTATGATAATGCCCGACAGCAGCAGCAAATGACTCATCAAGCTGACATTGTGTTGTTGCCTACCGTTGTGACCCGGTGGGTGGGTGATAATTTGGAGTCACAAACCAAAAAGCTGCTGGAAAACCACAATGATTTATTCAATGCTGATCAGCCCGATTGGCAAGATATTGATGATCATTTATTGCACGACGGCGGTAACATTTTCGTAAGCAATACGGATTTTATTGCTTTGAGGGAAAATTTAAAAAATAATAAAAAACAACAACAACAACAGAACAACAAATTAAGAATTGAGAAGAATTCAAACAAAGGCAAACTAAATGACTCACAAGTAAATAGTTGTGTCCCACTGAAAATACTCGGACGCGCGGGTTATCACGAGAGAAACGTGGCTGCGAATAGGATTTTACCTCTTGGAGATTTAGCTACATACACAGTTCGAAATCATTCTTCGCCAAGTTCTCTGTCAACCGAAACCGACGCAGTCGTAGGAGAAGATAAGTCCATGCGCTTATATAAGAATATTGCCAATAGCCGCAATCGTTCTCCAAAACTGTATCATCAGCAATTAATTGATTCTAATGATGCCATTGCCATCATTAGCAATTGTAGTAGCAACAATAGCAGTGATGGTGTTGGCAGCGATGGTACATTTGAAATTACGTTTTCAGCGCCTCTTTTCAACAGGGATCTTCCAACTACGACATATTATGGATTTGCTGATTTTACCACCATTGTTGGCGATAGTGTAATTGTTTTTTCACCCAGCCCTGTCACAAAAAGCCGACATTCGGGGCATATAACATCTATCAAAGGCGAAGCGACCTTGAATGTTGTTGCTATTAACGTGACATCAACAACAACACTTGATGTTGTACATGCTAGTACTGAGAAAGCGATTGTACCAACGACAGAAATATTTAATATTGTAGAATCGAATACGGTAGTGTTTAATGATATCAGCGACTTGAAAGAATCCCTAGTACATGGTGTAAAACACGTGGCGCTTATTGTCTCAACTGAACAGTCTGTAAATACCGTAAATGAAGTGAATGCAGCAACTGAAAAACCAGAACAGCAGGATGACGTAGACAACACTACCAGTAGCAGTCTGACTATTGTTAAAGGTATTGATGAGGGCGACAGAGAAAGCGGAAGCAATATTGCAGCTACAACAGCTCAGTTTTCGCGCCCTTCGGATGAAGAAATTTCGGAAATATATGCCTCCCTATCACGTGCAGAGGCAGCAACAGCCACACTGGATGCCATTACATCTACAGTATTGACAAGTCCTCTAACTGTCTCTAATTCGTTATCATTATCAATGGGGTTTGCCATAGAACAGCAGGTTGGCGAAAAAAATGTCGAGATGATGGAAAAAAGCTTACAAAAAATGGATAGTACTGAAATTGTGGTTGCAGATATGAACAATAGCGGACATTTTTCGGGCGGTGCCACAACAATATTTTTTGAAGATGATCCCTTTGCTACATTTGTTGAGCCGATAATTATGTTGACTACTATTAATAAGGTATTAAATAAAACATCAATTACTGTAGCGAGCTGGTTAGATAAAACAATAAAAACGAACTCTGTGCATGAAACTACAACAGCAATGAGCAATATGCAGACGAATACCGATGAGCATAAAGTTAAAAAGGATATAACTAATCTTGGGCCCGAATCAATATCAAATAAATCAATCAAGAACGACGACGACGCTAACGATACTATTAAACTAGGTGATTGCATAAGAACATCACAGGTATTTCTCACACAAGTAGCAAAAACGCTTACACAGCTAAATACATTGTACGCGCCGGCGTCACAAGGTACAGATAAAGTAATTAAGGTGGCTAAAGAAAAAACTGTGCTTGTGCCCAATTTCGATATTTTAGAAACGACCAAGCATTACTGCATAAAACCACAGGCTACAGGCGTTATAAGCGCGACTACTGGTGAAACTACCAATAATATAAGCATAGCGGAAGAGGATATCGTGCTGCTAGAGAAGCCTCACCTAGAACATGCCAATACTTCTGTGCAGTCTGGTAGTTCAAACTACGACACTTCTTTTTCAAGCAAAGAAATGGAAACAATAATGAACGATGCAGATTATGAAGAAGTTAGAAATAAATATAATGACGGCGACAGCGAAATTGATATTGATAACGATGCGGGTGCTGAAATCGATAACGATGATGGGTACCCGACTGAAGACGAATCGGGCGAAGAGATTGAATTGATTTGCAAAACTTTATATACAACATATACATATTTAACAACATTTTTTAACGAAGACAGCAAAACCAGAATCTCGAGCCACACTGAAGTATTTACTAATGTCATGACATCGACGCTGCATTCAATTCGTGATGAAATCGAACCGACAGCCGTAGCGGCACAAATATTGAACTTGGCTAGATCAGGAGCTCATGAAGTTGTCCATGATGAAGCTGGTGCGACAACCAAGTTTTTATTACCAACTGAATTGGAAAGCATATTCCGCGTTGGTGCGTATGAAAAAAATAACGGTAGAGATGCTAGTCCAATGCAGACGCATACCGTTATGTCCCCTTTAAATAAAAATAAATTCACCAAAACATATTTTACCACTTACACTTATTATACAACAATTTTTGTTGAAGGTGAAACTGAAATTATGTCCCGGACTGAGGTATATGCAAATTATATAACGGGCGCAATAAATCCAAGTGCTGTTTTCAAAATAAATACAAAAACAAGTTTCTTGAAGGATGCTACCTCTTTAAATGATACAGTGCCAGTGTTGACTCCTGGATTAATTTCCAATGTCATGGACAACACTAATACTGCCGTTTTCTCCAATCAACATATTTCTGTGGTTGTAAGTTCACATTTATTTAACGAGCAACCCTTATTGACAAATCGCAGCGATTTCCCGTCGGCAGTTACATTTGAAATCGATACCAATCAGCTGGAATTGAGCAATTATACGACTATTACGTTGGGTACTGATGTGCGCACGAGCAGTTCGAATGGCAAACAACATATTATAAATCAGCTACCCGAATTACTTGAAGATCAAATAAGTTCCGAGAGCAATACTGATGAAATACGGCCATCAGCCACTTTGCTTTTGCAGACAAGCTTCACAACATTTACATACTATACAACAATGTATAACAGTGATGTAACAAATGTTGTTAGCCGTTTAGAGACGGTAACTAACGAAGTCATCGAAACACTAAAAGCAACCGAAACTGAAATAATTGGAGAAACCGCATTGCCCATAACTTATTTTACAACATTCACATATTGGACACAGCTGGTTAAAAATGGTGAAATTACTACTCTTAGAAGTGAAGAGACCGTCTCAAATGTGGTAACGCCCACTGGAATATCGGTAACACAAATATCCATCACAAATACCGAGTCAGTGAATGCTGATATGCAGAGAATAAAGGCAATTAATGAAATTAGCGAAAATCAGAAAATAATTAATGGGTCTGCGGTTTCATTTGGTCCTATAACTGAATCAGTCTCAGACACATCTGGTGAAGATTATGTGAAATTAACTACTAATATCGTTAACATAACGGCGTTGCAAGAACCTACAACATACTATACAACTTACACATATTATACAACATCCTATGATGTTGATCGAACTACTATCAATTCACGCTTCGAAACTATAACGAATGTAGTTACACCAACAGTAAATTTATTACCTGTTGCCCTAAACAAAACGGACGGAGTGGATTTTGTGGCTGTTAGTACTAAACTTATGAACAGTGTCGATCATTTCACATATTCTGCTTTATTTAATGTTAATAACGGAAAAACGCCGATACTTGTAAAAAGTGCACAAGCCATTATTTATGATTATAAAAGGATTATTGATGCGGATAGTGTGAGTACATTGCATTTTATAACTGAAATATTTCCTACGACCGCCGCTGATGGTTTAGCTACTGAGTTTACCAGTATCACTTCCAGTTTGTATGTTGATGAAGTTAAGAAAGCTTTACAATCGACCAGTAGTAGTAGTAATACGCCGAGAGTGAATGCAGAAGGCAGCACAGTGCGTCAGTATAAAACGGGATTGATACGTTTAATCGAGGGGACACGCATTGATAATCATACCACGACTTCATACCAATCTAAGGTTATTGGCACATTTATCGAAAACCGTTATGCGCAAATAATTGAGAGCACATCAAGTTTAATTTTTGAGACAAACAGCGATGTGGCAATGATTGAGACGGCTATAGAACCTAGTCCTAGTGCTATATCGGTGACGCAAGTTGAGACAACGCAGGTAACAAAATTTAATGCTGTTGTGCCAACATTGCAGAACAGCATTTCTGATAATATAACTGAGCAAAACTTAGAAGGTGGCAGTGGTAAAGAAGATGAAGGCAACGACGATGTCGATGATGACGTCAACGATAATGATGACGATGATGGTGATAGCGATAGTAATAAGGCGGACTTGCCGTTCCAATCAAAGAAACGATCCTTTACACCCATAATACGACCATTTACATCTCGTAATCGCCCACAATTTGCTCCGAAAAAGAAGAACAGTCTGCCGAGTAGTGCGATAATAATAACGCGACTTGACGTTACACCAACCATAACTGCCACGCCGGCACTCAAATCAAGCAGCCGTTTTAACACGCGTAAAGGCGGACTTTCAACTATTGCTTTAATACCTGGTGCCGCTCCTGGTGGTTCAACGTCACGGCGTTCATTTGGTCGACCTATTAAACCTACAGCTCCCACTGGCAGTAATCTTTCCTTAAACTCACCGATAATTCCGTCAAATAACGTCGGTAGCACCAGAAGTCGTTTAACATCCTCCGCTCGGCAAGCATTACAATCATCATCTCGACGTGTGGTTGGTTTAGTGCGGCCTTCCTCTGTCGCAGGTTTTCGATCTGGCCTTTCCAGCGCTTATGTGGGTAATTCACGTATTCGTTTAAAGCCCATTAGCATAGGACTAGCTAGCCAACAAAATGGCCCAATAACAGAGGGTGTAACTACCTTGGCGCCTGACATCAGTGGCGAGGAGTCTACTACACCGGAATCGCAAATAAATGAGGGTGAAAACGATGAGGGCTTCAATGATGCTTCACGGCGAAATCAAAATCCTTTATTACGTTTTCGAAGACCAATAAATCGCCCAGCTGCCTTTGCACCAGCGAGTCAGCGTGTCAATAATGGCAGTAATGCTTCTACCCTTGGTAGTGCTCTGTCTCAAAGGCGGAATCCCCTAAATTCTCGCTCCAAAATTGCAACATCCGCCTCAAGTACTACAACAACAACACAGTCTCCGCGAGCACGCAGTTTTCAACGACCACAAATTTCCAATATACCGGGAAGAAACCGTGCACAGAGTAACCTGTTCCCACCACGTGGCCTATTACAGAAACAAACGATTCTCGACCCTAGTGAAGCCAAGGAAAACAAAAAACAGGATTACGGATCTGAGGGTAATGTTGACGCTGACGACGATTCGGAATATGATGACGAGGATGAAGAAGATAATGAAGATGATAGTGATGGTGATAGTAATCGCCGTAGGCGCTCTAATAGCAAGCAAATTAAAGTAGCACCGACGATTAAGGTGTCTGAAAAAAAGCTGAATGTTTTTGACATAGAGGAAGACAAAAAGTTCCCAAAGTTGGTTCGTTCACGACGTAGGGCGGACTCGGCTCTACTAAGACGTAGTAATTTCCATAATAGATTTCGGCGTCCAAAATTAAGCTCTGCCGCTGGTACAGCTGCCGATGATCGAAATTTCACTGAAGAGATCAAACATGAAACGACAACTCCCATGATAACAGTAATGACACGTTCACGTCCTGGGGGACGTTTTGTGTCACGATACACACCTCATCATGTCACCACACAAGCCGTAACAGCAGCGGTCGGTACAACAAGCATAACAAGTCATCGTGCAATAAGGCCCACTCGTCCCACTAATGCACGAGCCCAGTTTACACTACGTGAAAAGGACACCACTACCACAACACAGAGGAGCTTGTCACGACCTGGTGGGAGTAACTTTCGACGCCCCCAAACTGCCGCTTCACCACGGCGTTCGTCGAATCCGATAACCAACAACCGACATAAGATTTATAACAACAATAATTTGTCACAGGACACGTCGGCACGAAGTACCTCAGTGCGTGCACGCAATAATTTAAGTCGGACTCGTACTACTGTGCGTGGACGTAGTCGTAACGATTATAATGCTGACCCTGTTGCACCATCAAAAGATGGCATGATAACCATAACACAAATTATTCCAGCCGAAGTTACTATACCAGTCGTAAATGGCAAAGTGACGGAGTATAAGAATATTGTAACAGCCAAAACTAGTACAGAGGTTTTGGGACCTCAACAATACACCAGTTTTGTGAGTGGTAATGGGCAGACAATGCTGGCCTTAACACGCGAAGATTCCAGTGTAAATTTTGGTGGAGTCACTGAGATAACGCAATATGTCCTGCACGAAACTCCGACGACTACCATTATATTTACACCAACAACAATACGCGGCCGCAAAACATCATTTTCACATGTCATACCATCGACAATTTACTCGGTGGAAGCTGTTGTTTCAACAACTCAACCCCAAATATCGGCAAACGCACCGCTAGCAAACTTATTATTGTCGCAATTGTTACTTGGAAACATTGGTCTCCCAGCAGCCAACCCCTTACTCGGTGCAATTGGTGCTGCAGTTACGCCGGCGCCGAATCAATTGGGTGTAAATACAATTATATCCCAAATACCGGCTACGCCAGTTACTGAGTATCGGACGCATTCGTCGACATATGTGACAACAGTTTTTGAGGGTATGTCTACCGTTTTGCCTGTTACATTCCAGGGCAAAAAGATTTTGACTACCGTCTACGATACAACTGCACAGACCATTACAGCTACCGAGTTTGTGACGGACACAATTGTTACAACGCCGACACAACAAGCTTTTATACAGACACAAATGGCGCCCCAAGTCAATAGTTTGCTTTTACAACAACTACTCTTACAGCAACAGATACAATCACACATTGAAAAACCGCAACAACAACTTTCCATACCCATATTATACTCAGCTGCACCACAACTACTGTTACCTGACAATTTGCAGGAGCTCGACACAAATAATATCCGATTATCGAATGAAAACGATAATGACATACCCGTGATTGAGGGTATACACTTAAATAATAAAAGTGGCCGTAAAAAGTCACGTAAATCTGGTAAAGCCCACAAGCGTAAGCATCAAGCCGTACAAGACGAAGCGCCGGATGGTTCAAGTATCATCACACTTTACGTATCAGGTCGTCGGCCTGGTGAATTTAGTACTATTTTAAGCACTATTGCCTTGGGCTACGACTCAACAATACACAAACGTCAAGCACTCGGCCTAGTTAAGCAAACTGCCAGTTTCGACGACATCAATGATTTCTACACAACTGATGGAAGCGAATATGTATCGGCATATCTGATACCCGAATTATATGGTGACAAAAGGCCATTACAGCAGATTGACTTCAATATATTGGGAAGTGACGAGCCCATTTTATTTGAACAACAAACTCAATCACTTGAAACTATTGTCGGCGACGTTAGCAAATGGATCGCGAGAAGCACACAAGTAAATAATGTCGACGCGACTCTTAACAAGCTAACGGAGATGCCGAAAATTCTGAAAAGCGCTGTCGAGCAACATCCGATAAGTAAATTGTTCAGAGAAATGCCAAGTTCGGTTGAAAGTATAGCAAATCATTTTTTAGTATAACTGACCTTACTGTGTTGTCATCCCCATGCCAGTTCAAGGTCATTAATTCTGCTAAAAGAAACACAGAAGAAAATAACAATAAAAGTAGTACAAAGCTAAAGTTTAATATGTGTATGGAAGGCGAAATCGATAAAAATAATAATATACGAGCCTATATGTTCGGCAAAGTAGGCAGGAACAATGGGAATGATGCTGACGACGACGAAGCGGAGGACGTAATTTATTATGAAAACAAAGAGGAACCCTCGGGTAGCTTTGAAGGAAACAGTGCAGTACTTAAATACGTGGGGGATAAAAAGATGTTAGGAAATAATTTAGCTCGTAGCTTTTTACCGAAATATAAAAAACAAATTTCCACATTATGTAGTTGTACAAATAATTCGAACACTAAGGTATTCAAGCACTTATATGCGATATATGAAACTAATTATAATAATTCAAGGAAAGAATATAGTGGTATAATTATAAAAAGGCAAAAACGTAGCCCATCGTATATTGTGAGCAATGACGTCGTGAAACAAACGCAATTATCGCATAGCGATTATAATGATGACAATACAACACAAGAGTTACCAAATTTGAATGATAGTAATAATAATGAAAACAATATGCAATTTAATACCACAACAACGGGACGCAGATACAGTAAGCTACTCGTCCGACGTAGTAAACTGATAGTACCGTCAGCGCCTGAATTGTTAAACTCTAGTGAACTTATGTTTCGTGTAGCCGTGAATGAAACAGCTTTGCAGCCAATGTTACGTTCAACAGTTAAACTTGTGTTGCGAAGGAAGATTATTGTTATTAGAAAACCGCAACAGGACCGCCGGATCCAAATAGAAACCATGGAAACAACAACGCAAACACCAAAATTCCCCAAATACTCATCAAATAACTCAAGTACCAAAACACAATCTGCAAATAGTATAAAATCTTTGAACGAATCGCACATACAACGGCCCTTGTTCAATAAAACCGGAGAAGTGGGTATAAACAAACTTTTACTCATCGCGAATTTAAGCAGTCAAAAAGTATTTCACACGCATATTAAAAGGAATGACACCAAGGCGCATGACCGCACAATGCAACCAAGTAATTTTAATGCTCGTGGTCGCATTGTTCGGAAGCGCATCAATCGAAGGCTACGAAAATTTGACCATAACGATTTGAATCATAATAGCATAAGAATAACAACATCAACTAAAAATACTACAAAGTCTTTGCAAAGAGATGAATTGCAATTCAAAACAGCTTCATATAACAGTAGCACTGCAGAAACTATGACGCCGAACAAGACTATAAAGAAACGTCGGCGTAAAAAACAAGGCCGCATACAACGTAAAAGAAATCAAAAATTAAGAACAACCAATAGAAATTTTGTGACAGTAGTCGCAAAAAGCCAAACAAAATTAAATTTTTTACAAGCACAATCAATATTTATGCAACAATCCCGACAAATATTAATGCCATTTCAATTGTCCTCCATAATTTCAAGAAATCAAACAGATTTCTTCACAGGATTTATGGTGGATTCAAAACAAAAAACTGCTGCCATTGTTAGTGCGAGTGCTGTACGGCCAACGACTTTACTTAATACGCGCTTTCTAAATATTGCACATACTAGCTTATATTATGAAGTTGCTTCTAGTATACAGTACGAAACAATTATTCATACACGCACCTATACTTATGTAGTGGATCGTGTACACGGTGACCAACACCATCATATCGAATCTTCAACTTTGGTTCGGGCCCAAACTCAAGTCTTACCGCATACAATGCTTATAACGCATACTCTTACAAACATGATAATGTAGGCAGCGCCGTCGATTGAACAAAAACAATAACAAGTGTGTTTATAATACTCACGTATCCATTCTTGTCAAATTATTTTAGTATCAAGTTGTGTTTGACAGTCTTCTTAGTGTTTAATGGCGTTGGCACCGTTTACCGTATAATTCGCACAGCTCATCGTTAGACCGTCATGATAAAGAACCACAAATAGTTCGCAAAACTTTTCTCTCGAAGACTCCCAGAGCTGACTCATCACATGTTGACATCGTCCAATTGCAGCATATAGTATGACAGGTATGATCAGCGACCTGAAGAGCTTGGTTTTTGTTCGTCGAGATCAATTGCGATCCTTGAGAAACTCGCGTATAAGTATTCGGTCTTCTCGTTTACTGGTTAGACGCTTTTTTCCACTTTTTGATTTATTATTGTGGGATCTCGTCTCCACAAATCGTCTGATAGCACATTGGATCGCGGACCGCGAACATCCCACCAAATTGGCAATCTAAACCTCAAACTTACCTTCTTCACTTAGAACTTGTACTGTAACTCTATCATCATAACTAATTTCACTTTTTTTAGGCATTCCGGTAAATATGAACTGTTTTTATAAGATTGGTAACTTTTCACTAAATTTAATTTACACTTGCACCTTCAAATTTTAAATGCGAAAGGATTTCTTAAAAATTACAATTGTTAGGTTTAGCTTACCCAGAGTGCTATGACTTTTAATATTATACAATTTATTCGTTTAATTAACCTATGTAAGACATTTATAAAAATAAATGGTAACTTTGATAGCCACATTTGAGAATATTTATAAACATTTTAGTGGGGTGCCTAATACTTTTTGCCAAGGCTGTAATTCATTTCAACATATACCTCACAATCTTTTTGCTTATGTACTAAAAGAGTGCGTAAATAGCTAAGTAAAATCACATTTTTTGAAAACTTTCTTAGTATTTTTTCTTCTTCAAATACAGAAAATGTTACACTTAGCCTAAGCATTCATTAATGTTATTTTATTTTATCTAACTAAGACTTATAAATGAAATTATTTCCGTTGTGTTCTTCGCTCAAATTTTTTAATTTTTTCTACTGTCATCAGCTGTTTACAAGTTCAACAGATATAATAAGTCAACTATGTATATCATATATTGTATACATATTAGTACACTTCAATAGTTTAAGAGCTTAGTTATTAAGGTTAAATAAAAAATATTTATTAGTATTTGCTTTTAACTTTTTCAGCGATTTAATTTTTATGTTAATCAGTTTATATTCCATTTATTTTCCCAATCTCTAAGATGTAATATTTTCGCACTTTAGAGCATTAACGAAAAAGAATTAAAGGTTGTTAAAATTAAAATTGAAATAAATTGTATACCTTTATATCTGAAGATTATAAAAAATATGATGTACAATATGTAAGAAGAAATATGGTGTATTTGTATATATGTAGAATAATAATTGTAATTATTAAATCTTTATAATGAAATACAATATCACTTAAATTCAATTCAATCTATTACTAGATTTTCCTTAAAAACACATCCTCACTGTTAACGGTTCATACTGATCTGTCTATAGTCAGAGTTTGTTTTTGCGTCCCTCGTTCGTTTCTTTTTCTTCGTTAAGTCAATAGGGTTTCGGCCTTCGACCCGAACGATGATTTCCACCTTTTTATATATTCAGCGACGGAGATGGAATACCAGGGTCCTTCAACTTCACCGACTAATTTAACTTCATAGCGGTCATGACTTCATATTTTTGAGATCTTATATAGATCAAGATATTTTGGTCTCAACCTTAGGCAACTTCCGGATACACCCAATGGCAAGTAAGTCATTAAGTTACCTATTCTATCGAGGTAACAAAATTTACTTTGGTATTAAAATTTACCATTCATTAATATTTGTTACTATTTCGTATTCTAACTTCACTGTCACCCTGCAATTTTAGTTACCAGCGAAAGAGGAGGTAACAAAAAGTCTGCTGTTTGATTTTGTGTTGTTAGTTTAAGAAAAAAATAAATACCAAAATGGGTAGGCATATTTTAGGCCTGGAATACGTTGAAAATGGGAGTGATTGCGAAAAAAAATTACCCTTTCAATTTGGATGAAAGGGTTTTCACTGATTTTTTTTCGGTTAGGCCTATTTTTCAAAATTAGGTTCAAATATTTATGATTTAATAAACAAATAAATACAACTTATTTAATTTGTTGTGCACGTCTTCCTTTTCGATGTGAATATTTTTCTTTCTTACTTTACCATTTGGCAAATGTAATTTGACAAGGACGAAAAATGCAGTGCTTCCAAAATTTTTTCAAACATTGTAACCAGTTTACCGAATACCAAATTCTATTTCGGGTGTTAAAAAAAGAGTAACAAAATTTATTTTATCGGTAACGGTGAGTATAGGCCTGTTAGTTGTCTCCTTTCTTCTTACCTCAAACTTGTTTGTTTTCCTGTTGTTGTTATCCCTAGCCTGAAGGTGTGTCGTTTCGCGTTCTGCGTCTAAATCATGTGTGGTGTCATTTTTTATTAACTCATGTTGTTCTCATGTCTAACCCTGTCACAATTCTAAAAGGCGAATACCTTGTGCTACTGGTTGGGGTACTGTTTATGATCTGCTGCCCTTTATCTACAAGCTTATACCAATTTCTGGGCTCCTCATTCACAATTTCGATATCATTGGTGCATCCGTTTCACTTGACCATTTCTTACAGTATTCTTTGAAGAGATTACCTATGATTGCACTATCTCTGTCTATGATTATACACCTAGGGTTTCCTAAGTGTTTCGATAAACGATTAACAACTACTCCAGCTCCAGTACAATAGAAACCTTTCTTGCCTACGCGCCTTGAAATCTGTCACATTGCACTCGACGCAACTTTTTACGACTTTCTTTAATTCGGTAGTCAAAAATAAAAAAAGCTTTTTTTTTTTTATTGAGAAGTGTCCCTGCTTGTGCGCTACACGTATAATTTAGTCTTCCGTCAATGAAGGTACTACCAATAGTCCGTTTACAAGGTTCCTGTAAAGTAATTCATGTTTCATGTAAAAATCGTCGTATGCATCGTTTTCCAAGGCTGATATATTTGTTTGTAGTTCAGGTTTAGCATTTTGATTGCATAAACTCAAAACTGGAGTAAGTACTCGTACCAATGCATTTTATAAACGTTGGAATGCTCCATTCAATGTACACTTTTCTTATCAGATGAATTCGTAAAATTTTTAACCGCCTGAGTCTTTCCATCTGATGACTTTATCGCACCAATCTCTAAAACATAGCCTAGGAACTCCACTTTGGTTATCAGGAATTGGCTTTTTTCCACGACATATTTAGACTTTACTATATTTTGGATTTTACTCAGCTGCTCTTCCTAAAATAATTTTCAACCTATCCTTGGAAGGAGTATATGCCGCTAGAATACCACTTGCCACTAAATCTACGAAAATAACGTTCTTCTACTCTAAGTGGCCTTGGTAGGTCAAAAAAGAAGTAGATTTCCTCAAATTTGCAGCAATAGCTATATGGAAGAATACATTCTTTAAATCTATTGTATATACATATACAGAATTGGCGCTTTGTAACCGCTGAAGCGATTGTCGGCCTCCAATTTGTGGTATTGCCTCTTGATGTTTTTGCAGTAAAGTGTCACCTCTACTTTTTCTTATTAAAATATGTATGTGGGTATGTACACACGTACATACATATGTATACCTACGCTGGCTGTTGGTCAAGCGTCTTCCAAGAACCACACACGTCCACAAATTAAACTACCAAACAAAATGGAGATGGCGAAAACAAACAAAGGTACCGGCCATATTAGTGAAGACGGCATGGGTCGCTAGCTACGTACAATAACAAGAACTATGGGGAAAAACAAACCAGTGAAATGATCGACGCTATTAACAACAGAAGGTTGCACGAAAACAGTGAAGGAGCAAACCACTATTTAAATAAAATATAAGCAAAGTATAATTTTGAGTGCAACCGAGGTGTGGGCCAACCACACTGGTTACGAACCAGCTCTCACTGCTCCCGTTCTGTCAGGGGTAACTTTAACCCGCCTAAGTAACTGGGCTCCAGGTGAGGGATGCTAGAAAGATAGGACGGAGGCAACGACACTGTCGGCACGACAAAAGTGTACAACAACAACAGACAAAAAGTTACTTATCGGTTTCTTGGTCGGGTGAGAGTTCCAACTTCGGTGCTCCTCCGTTGGTGCTGCCATATCGAGTATTAAGCGCACGCCACGATGGCACACCAAGTACACTGGAATAATTTTCCCCTCGCCGCATTAAATGAAAAGGCGACATTACTTTTTACGGAATGCACGCGCAATGCATTCCGTTTCCCTTATAATTATCAGTGGAGGAACCGTTTTGTATGAACATCTCCCTTTGGAGACCTTTACCACTGGGTAGGTACACACGGAATACAACCGTGCCACCCCATGGCTTCAAACAATGCAACTATTTACCGACAGATGTCACTATAAAACTTGGAGTGAAAGGGAGTTTAGGCAAAACAATATTAGCATTCTTGGAATGCT